ATGTAAGTCATTTAATAGTCATCTTAGATAATGACTTTTGCTATTCAATGGTTACTTGTGTAAATTAACATAATAGCTTTGTTTACTTTTAACAATTAATAGTAATTATTTTCATAGGTTTTAGGTTATTACAAAATAGGAGATCAGTTAAGAGTGGCATCTCCTATTCTCCATAAATTTTGTGTTTCATTGGGATGAACTGTATCTGTATATAATGTTGTTTAATGTAATTTTATCATTGATTTGTTGCACTAATGTTTCAATCTAATGCATTTGCAACCATCATTATATGCATATTATAAAATTTAGATCTTGAAATTTTGTGAGGATAGTCTTTTTTATGTATTATATAATTGTCATAGGACTTGAACAGTTTGTAAACTTTCATCTATGCTCGAGATATAAAAGTATAATCATAGATCACCATCAATATCAAATAGCCCGCACATCGCACGGGCCATTCTACTAGTACTTGCAAAACAATTTTCAGACAACTGGATAAATTTTAGTCCATTTCCTAAAACTTAGGGTTAATTTAAGTATTTTACCCTAATTATATTTATACACAGTTTAAACATTGTTGGGTGCAAGCTAGCTGGCTGGCTCATTGGAGTTGAAGGCCGAACATGGATGGCAACTAAGCCTCACATGAATCCTTGCTTGTATGTTGACATCACATCTCCTTCCCACAAGGGGCCGCCCCAAAGTGCATCCCCGCCATGTATTGGGAACATCTTCCGATGACAGTACCAGAACCGATGGTATCATTATCGGACTTGTGAGGAGGAGATGTGAACTCTTGTATGTTGGGCATGAGAGCTGCCTGACAAATGACCAAAGTTCACTTAGATGCAGAAATTTGATGCTTTATATAGTATTTGACTATTTGTAGCAGCATTCGATGCTTTATATAGTATTTGTAGCAGTATTTGATGCTTTATATAGTATTTGTAGCGGCCCCTTGTGGGCAGGAGATGTGAACTCTTGTATGTTCAACGAAACAATGCGAAATTCTCATCCATGGATACCATGAAAAGAAAGACTGCTACGTTAAGTAGCGTTAGGTAATTAAATCAGCATTTGGTAGCCATTTTGAACAAAATAATCTCATTGTGGTCTTACTTGGCATTTGAAGGCCCACCTTCACTATCTAAAATGTATTCATCATCAAAAATGTTAATAAGCGAATTCACTTCTTGAGATACAATGGTTTCATTTAAATTTACTACCATTCCTTCAATTTTATCCATATTGACGCAGCGTGGAAGCAATGAGAATCGGAGCTGGCTATGCAAGCATCGGACGCTTGCTAGCACCTAGCGAATAACACCGATTTCTCTAGGAGAGAGAAAAGGTGGCGAAAACTCAAAGAAGAGAACTCAAGAAAATCTGAAAATCTGAAGTATGAATTGATGAATAACTTTGGAAAAATAACAGTATTTATAATACATTTGGAAATTGTAAAAGAACTAGGATAGATCTAAATATCTAATTTGATAGGATCGAACTCTCCTTGGTTGATCTCCACCGCCCGATCTGCCTAGATGCATGGATCTTGGATTATCTTGCTAATCTTGATGCTTCTCGGAGTCTTTTTTGATAATCTTGGAAGAGTCTTGCATTATCCTGTTAATCTTGGAAGAGTCTTGCTAATCTTGGATTCTTGGATTCCTTGCTTATCTTGAATTCTTGGATCTTAATTAACTTATCCTTATCCTAGGAACTGCCGCCCCTAGGGATGAGATGGGCCTTGTGATGGGCCTCCATCACATATTATATGATGAATGGATAAAGGTCCATCATGATTTTTTGGACCTAGTCATTCACATAATGCCTGAATATGTCAAGCAATATTAGGTGTTTCTTGTAGCACTTTTGCACTTAGTTAGCTGTGAAGTAAAGCATAATTGCACCTAGTTCTCATTTATATTTTCCCTATCATCCACCTCTGGTTCATGCATGATGACATTTCCACTTTTTTTTTATTTATATATAATCTCATTTAGGATTCAAATGATTTTCATCATTTCCTTGTTCTTCTGAACTTATCATTGGCCTTTCTTCCCCAATTTACTGGTCTATAGATGCTAACTCCCACATGCCCTATATGTTTTGAAGTTCTCTCCCTCTCTCAATGAATTCCTCTCTTTTTATTTGTCGTTTTTTATCTTCGTCTCTTTTTGGGAGGGGCTGTTGGGTTTCAAGGATGTAGTAGGATAATTATTAGATGATTTCCTCAGTTCTTTAATAATATAGTGATATAGTGCTAGGATTACACACCCCAGGCCTTGTTAGGATGTTCTTCCAAAGCCAACCGCCATTCATCTTCTGACTATTCTTAATTAGGAGCCCGGATGTCCTGCAAATAAATACTCTACATATATAATATCTAACCGCACATTAGGAATATCTCCTGCACATGTATGTTAAATTTTCATGAAGAAATGTTCCCAATATGTGATTGGGTTCGTATGCTTGCAGAGTGTGTGACAGAATCGTTTTTTATTGCAGGGAATCCCGTTGCTTTAATTAGAACTTAACTGCTTTTCAAGTAAAGATATCTAAAGGTGGGGAGATTTTTATGTAATTGTGCCCACTGTTTCTCCATTAGAATCTTGTAGGGATATTATGGCACACAAGCATCAATAAAGTTTGTACTGAAACAGAAGAGTTATGGTGCTCTATCAAAGAAGGGGGCTTTTCTTTTCTTCTTCTTTTCTATTTGAAAGATTCTTCCGCCATAGATTGAGGCTTCAACATTTTCAAGAGACAAACTCAGTCTATTCATCAAGACACTAAGCATGGAGATGGACCATGGTCCTAAGCAGAATTTAGATAACTGAGACTATCACATTTATCACTTAGATTAAAATTTCAGTCATCAGAACTTGATTATGTAAACTAGGTAGACTTTTACTGTCAGAAATTGTCATTGTGTTTTGATGATCCAGAAAAATGGTTTCATAAGAAGTAAAATTATTTCCATGCCATGATTTAAAAGCAAGAATTATATCCATTTAATTTTAGGCCAGGTCACATTATGCATGTCTATAGGGGGATGAGAGAAGGCTGCTTTCTATTTGGGGAGAGGCTGGTTATAAGTTTTTTTTTTTTTCTTCTTCTTCGCTTATTTGTTTCTCTGCAAGGAGGATCAAGTGGATGGAACCACTTTTGTTTCAGACCTGAGTAGAGGAGAAAGAGAATAAATGCTGCATGTAGGAAAGGAAAAGATAAAGAAAAAGAGAGAAAAAAAATATCACATGCTTATTGCTGATAACTTCAAACAAACTTTTCATTCATTGGCTCAACTCAAGAATTCCAATTACAATGACTATTCATAAGCTAAACAGAAGGGCTTGAGTCTTACAGGCTTCAATTAATTAGACTCAAAGCAACTTATTATTGTTTAAAAACTAAGACAACTAATAGGTAACCCACAAGGACACTCAAATAAGGATTCCAACTACTAAAACAACTATTACGAATCCTACTAAAACTAAACAAATCATAAACTTTTCTAAGACTGACCCCAAAGAAATTGGACTCAAATCTCATTCTAGGCTGACATCCTATCAATAAAATGGTCCAAATTCTCTCAAACATGTTATTTTTACAAGATCTTCTTCTCCTTGGACAGACAACTTATTGATAACCAATCTAATTACACCAAAATAATGCAAAATAGATAAGTTTTGAACCCTAAAAATAGGATGAAAGAAAAATGATGTAATTCTATCTTCAACTTTTCAAAATTCTATAGATCTCTGACAAGTCTCTACAAAATAATTTGACTCTAATACGACCAATCCTATTCATAAGGCACTCAAAACTAGAAAAAAAAAAAAACGAAAGTCCATATTACCAAAATTATGGAATTGCCACTCTCTAAAGAATTGGGAGCAGATTGATTTTTTTTCTCCATGGATTCTTTCCCAATTTCCACGCCTGCATCAAAGACACCATCTAATAGGATGCATTTCAGTAATGAGAGGATTGACCCACAGGGTTTATAAGTTTATTAACAAATTGTGATATTAATAATGCAGCAGTAGAACTTGTAATGATGTGTTTGGTTGCCGAGAAAGGGAAAGGATGGGAAGCATTTTGGTGGAATATTCCACCTTTCTAGTGTTTGTTTTGCAAGAAACACGGATTAAGAAGAGAGTGGGATGTGGGTTCTCAATAGTTAAGCTCCGGGGTCACACTAAAACAGTGAGACCCCGCTGAGAAGAGAAAATATTGGGCAGAAATGTAGAAAATTTCATCGAGCTTGTCAGAGAACCAGACTCGGGTCTTAATTTTCGGACTATCCATCCTCCAACGGTTAGTTCTCCGGCGACATTTCTGGCATCCTTTCCCGTCTTGCTTCCATTTGGTATCATTTTCATATGGTTTTGTTGATTTCTTCTCTGTCCTCAACTCGTTGAATCGCCCCTCCAACCATGGTCGGTCGGACTGTATTTATTTATTTATTTTTTGTTTCGGTTGATCTCAGATATGATATTTTGTGTTGTTATTTTTTATTTTTTTTTGCTTCAGGTCATCACAAAAATGAAAAAAATATATTCCTTTCTCATCCCATCTTTTCTCAAAAACCAAACGGACCATAAAGGAGTTCAAATGAACATACAAGTTCTTTAGTTATCCAAGGGGTTCAAATAAGACTGAAATTAAACCAAACAAAAATGCATCATGGAGAGAGACAGTAATTCCACCGGTTCATGACATATTGTTAACAATTTAACTGAAGCGGTACCTTTCGTAGGTAGATCATATGATATATATGGAACTTAGTCTTCCGTCTGAAGCCAAAACATTGTCAAGAAACAAACCTTGGCAAGTTTTTTGACTTTATTTTCTCTCATCCCCAAAAGGATAAGCATGAGATATAACCAAATTATCTACAAAGTCATATAAAACCTTGAATTTGGTATTGAAAACATCCTTCAAACCTTCACTCATCCAAACTGGGAAAGTAACCTTACTTTTCATACCACATGTTTTGGTCAGATCACAATAGTAGAGTCTATATGAATGAAAATGAGTTATAAACAGATATAGAGGTCGAATGCTAATGGTGCGCATCAACAGTCACACTCACAAGTAATCTGCTCTTCCGTTCAAATGAAAAAAAAAAAAAAAAATCAACCGAAAACAAATGCCCTGCCAAATCTAACAAAATATTGAATTAAATATGATATGAAACTCTAAGTTTATTTTCACAAACAAGCTGATCAACACTCCATCCAGACCTGAAACAACAAATAATCAAAGATCGCTTACACTATTATCAAACACCTTGAAATAAACAAGAAATCAAGTCCAACCCCAAGCCATCCAGTTCCGCATGGTTCCACCTGCACATTCTAAACCAAAAAAAAAAACACCATTATAATTACCAGCTTCAAGTGAGAGAGAGAGAGAGAGAGAGAGAGAGAGCGACCTGTACTCGGAGGTTTGAATGACGCTGTGGATAGAAAGTTGGGCAGACCCAATATCCAGTCCCTATGTCACAATTCCATAAAAAGACTGAATTTCCGTTTAACTCATCCCCCATATTTGCAAATACAGAGAAAAGACCCGGCTTCTCAGATGTGTTATTTCTTGAGTTCCTCCAAAGTTCACCGTAGAAAATTCTCCAACTATATTGTTTGTCTACTGTCTTGACCCTTGAGAATCATCCTTGGCAGGCGGCTGTTGTTGCTGCTGCATGGGGCCAGTGGTGCCACGGCCCTGGCCCATCTGCTGGTAGAACTGGCTCAGAGCCTGAGGATTCAAAACCCCAATATGACCGTCTTGAGAAAGCCCAAGCTCCAGTCCCGGAAGTTGCTGGTTGTTTCCACCCATGATTGAGCTAAAACTCATTGGACCCAGATTGGAACCTGGTAATTCAAAACCGTGGAATCCAATTCGAGTCATGTAATTAGAACTTTCGGTGCCCAAATTCGATGTAGATGGAGCTGAAGAATGAACAAACCCCGGCCCAAAACCACTAACAGAGGGCCATAGGCCTGTGGCCACATGAGATCTACCCAAATTATTTCCAATCACACTCCAGTTGGTCCTACTGCCGGACCCAATACCGGGTCCCAACTCGTCGATCTTCGACTGGAAGCCGGCCGAAACAGAGGTTCCCTGTTGAGAGACAGAGCCCCCCGCAGCAGCAAGTGCCGAAGCAGGAATCGTTCCAGTGCCTGTGGCAGCGATTATGGATGGCTCCGCTTGCTGTAATAACCACTGTATTGTTTCCCCATCAGATTTGTGGCCCAATTCTCTTGTCAACTGGAAAATCCTGGCAGCACAGAGAGCTGGCATCCTTATTCTTCTCCCCCTCCCATCAACCTTTGTGTGTCTGTCCTTGGTGGAGCTCCTCTTGGGTGCTAACTGCTTCTTCCCCTCGTCCTTTTCTGCAATCACAATCTGGAAGTCCTTAATTTCTGCAGGCTTGTTATCTCCCATCTCTGGTTGTGGGAGACTCAAGAACTTGGGCACCTCCTGAGGCTGCTTGGAGCCCTTAGGATCCATGAAAACAGGAAAAAAGGGTCTCTTTGATGAAGAAGGTGACCTGAAAAGGCCTAGACTTTCATTGGTGTTCACTCTTTTTGGCAAGGAATGAACCTGCTGTTTAAAAGACAAAAAAAATAAGAAGAAGAATTACAAATTGAGTTCCCAAGACCAAGATAACTACCCTTTCAAAATTTTACTTAGCATACACCGTCAAAAACATTAATCTCTCTCTCGCTCTCGCTTGCGGGTTTCTTCTCTGTTATATATCGCCCTCTTTTTCACTGTAGCGGGTTTTGACTACCTTGATTTGATAGCCCCTTTAACTGCCAATTTCACCATTTCAGACTCAGTTGTACATCAACCTCTTTAGTCTTTCCAACATTCCATGTACTCCAACCATCATTGTTTCTCTCTGCATGCTATTATTGCAATATATAGTAATTTATTCATCTCTTGCAAGGAACTCAATTGCCGATGTGGCATATTCTGGAGGCACAACTGGCAGTCCATCAATGGAGTAGAGGGCTTGCTTCTGTACCACTCCAGGCCCATCCTCATCAGGAAAGGAAAGAAAACATTAGAAAGAAAAGAAAAGAATGATGGAATCAACAACCAAAAAGAAATGGAGTGAGAGGCGGGCTGTTGCAATTAGAATAAGGTGGGGAATTTGAAATTTTCTTTTTTCTGCTTTGCCAGTTCATGGGCCATCTAGAGTTATGTTTTATTTATTACTCTATAGCCAAGGTTGTATTGTATGGTTCTTGGCTTTCACAGATGGATCGGACTCGTCACTCGTGTTTTGTTTAAAAATACAACAACAGAAACAAAATGGTCATCAGAGTTGGGAAGGGAGAAGCGATGCAAAGAGAGAGAGAGAGAAAGAGGGACATCCACCTGAAGGGTGCTTTGTTTTTTATGCTGGAAAAACTAAAATAAGTGGGTACTTGTCAAAATAATACCCCGAGTTTCAGTGGATACCAATACCCTACATCAGAAAATGACAGAAAATCCCTCGAATTCCTCTCATCTCATGACAAAGATGCCCCCATTTTATGTGGGCATCCCTTTTTCAATTCAGCATTAATACAATTGACAAAGATGCCCACACACTTCTTTTTAAGGTACCCCCCCCCCACAATTTTCCTTTTAAGTAAGCCTTGTCTGATGGATGTTTTAAACTTTGATTTTTGATAGATAGGTACAGCTTCGATAGTCGACTGGGAATCTTACTCCTCTCTCTATCTACCCAGAAATGGCTGCCATGGTGGCAGATAAGGAAACGTTACACCTGATTTTTATCCAATGAGAGCGTTATCATTATATACCTCATATTTTTTGTTTTTTAATTTTTAGAGCCAACGAAACGAATGATGACTGATGAATGATCACTGTAGGTCACTAATGGTGAGAGCATGCTCATTGAATCATCTCTCCTTTTTTTTTATTAAGGCTTTGAGAGTTATCGACGGGTAGGAATTAGGATAATAGAGCGTGTTAGGTGGGGGCAGAAACCCACAGACAAGACCAATCAACGCAAGGCTTATCCAGAATCGTCGTCTATCTCTGGAAGTTCTTCGTCTTATTATGGCTAGGTCACTCTCCACGTGGCTCAGTAGACAGTTACCAAAGAAAAGTCCAGTCACCCATCTAGAAAACCCCGGTCCCGGCCTCTCTCTTGAGTAAAAACAAATTATATATTGGACAACACTAGACCTGGCAATTGGGTTGGGTGGGTCGGGTTAAATTTTGGGTTGTGTTGTCAAATGCTATATCATAATCCTAAATGTTTGGGTTAGGGTTGATCCATTGGTCAATTTGGGTCATCTCAAAAAATTTAAAAAAATAAAGAAAATTACATGAAAAATATCAAAATTAAAAGAATTAACTTTAAAATTTCAAATATAAAATAAAAAACTTGAACATTTAATAATTTAAAGAGTAAACAATAAAAAGTAAAGACTAAATAGAAAAAATTAGAGAGTGGAGACTTCTAATAATGCATAAATAATCCCAATTAGACTTGACAATCGGATTAACGGGTTGACTCATGATCCAACCCAACCCAATTTTTTTCAGGTTGGGCCGGGACAGGTCATTTTCGCATTCGGGTAGCTAAATATGAAACTCTAATCCTGTTTTTTCGGATTGAATTGGATCGAATTTACAGGTTGGGTCAACATTTTTGACAGGTCTAGACAACACAAAGTACCCCAAGGATTGACGTGCTCTTCGGGGGAAATTCTTTTGTAAAACAATTTACTATTTTTGTATTCTAAATTTCTAATGACTAAAATTAAAAGTGCCCTCAAAGATAGAGTTGAATTATTAAAAGAAAAATAGGTTGCCTAATCGGGTCGATTAGGTTTACTTTCCTGGACTGGACGATGATACCACCTGATTACTCCTGTCTACATTATCCACTTTGTATTTTGTATTTCGCGGAATAATATCAGCCGTCCAGCCCGTCCTTCCTTACTATTCTTACTTTAATATTTTAGTTTGGAAAACGCCCACGAAAGAGGCTAATTTTGACACCCTGCCTGGTGGACATAAGTGGCTGGTTTAGGGAAAAGGTCTACACGACCTAACAATCCTACACGTCGCACTTCCACACATGGCAAGATTCATCGGATCGTCGAAAGATGATACTAAAACTGTGTTACTGGAGAAAGAAAAAGTTCATTTAAGGCATGATTTGGGTGGGGTTGAAAACAAATTCATTTTCACTACTGCAAACATATGAGAGAGTGCAAATTCTCAAATATTTTTGTTTCAACTTTCACCTTATTTTATTTACTTGCAGTATGCAGTGCAGATGAAGTAAAAGCTGATCAGACAAAATTGGACCAGAATTTGCATTCTTACCATTTACAGATTCATACGTTTAATACTATTTGCACTACAAATTAACAGATCTGAATCCCAAAAATTATTAAGTTAATGCTAATCGGCACGTTATTAATCTTTTATTTTTTTTATAAGATAACTATCATGACCCACCGGTGGGTTTTGATCCCCAAATAAATATGGGGCAACTAACAACATATGTCAGCCCAAATCCATCCTCTATATATGTTCTGCGATAACAAATTAAATTCAAGAAAAGAAGGTAATGGTGTTCTTAAATCTTAACTATCTATGATACAAACAAAAGGAATTGGACATCGTAGACTTTCAAATATGATTCTTATCTCACATGATGGTTTTTCTCCTGCATTTTTTTTCTATACTTCCATTTCATTGAGCCTATAAAAGTCGGAGTTACATCTATATATAATAATGACAGTGCAACGATAATCCATATTTTATAAAAATAGGGTTTTTTCCGAATTTAGGATTTATTATATTTTTTTAGAAGAATGACAGTTCAGCCCAAGGTCAAAACCTTTAAGCCTAAAGTACAGTTGGAGTGGGTGTTATCTCGGAATTGATGTCAATGTACAGACGACATTAATGTATAAAATAGGGGTTTTAACATTTTGAATGTTTACAGATCTCTAGTGGAATTCAAAAGTCTACATTGGGCTTATCCGTACTTTTCTGAAAATTATAAATGGGTTGATCACTTGTCACACATTGACTGAAAGCGTAGTAAAAATTTCAAGGAGATTGGAACTCTTTCTTTTTATCTTTTTCCTTTTTGTTTTTCTGTGTACGTAGGCATCTGTATTTTAATTCATCTATATTGCCATATGCTAAACAAATTTAAGAGATTAACTAGTTGGGACACGTGTGATGTAAGGGCTTTGTTAAATAAGAATAAAATAATAAAAAAATAAGATGAAATTGTGTAATTTATGTTTTACGATATTTCTACTATTTTATGATAAGTTTTTATAATTATTGGTAATTTATCTTGGTTATATTATTAGGTAATTTTTTGCAATTTCTAGTAATTTAATATAATCTATCCATAATTATTGGTAATTTATGATAAGTCTTAGTAAAATTGTAACACTTTTTAGAAAAAATTGCTCGGATCAGCGATTTACTGACCAAAATCAACGGTTTTAGAGAAAAATTCAATTTTGAGAAAAAACGGAATCAGTCACCTAACCAGTTCCCAATTTTTCCGATCCGACCATCCGTCCGGTCCAATTTTAAAAACCATAGTTTAAAATAGTGTTTAAGACTCAGCCCAGACTGAACAGTCAGATCATGAAAACCGGCCGGGAAGCTTTTCCGGTGGCCTTTCTGAGTCCCAGTTCAATGATAGTTTTGGTGGGTTGAACAGGTACATTGCCTGGTTAACCAGTAAAACGTACCGGCCTTTCTGAGTCCCAGTTCAATGATAGTTTTGGTGGGTTGAACAGGTACATTGCCTGGTTAACCAGTAAAACGTACCGGGACCCAAACAGCATTCTGGTTTTTACTCCGGTCCCCGTCTTAAAACATGCATCAATTATTTGATGCAAATAATGCATACAAGTTCCTGAGGGTGAATTTCTTTCTAAGACACTTTTTGGGCGTTTCTCATACATAACACCAGTGTGGAGTCGTTTTAATTTATAGAAGTTTAGGACCCAATGCTTGCAAACATCAATGGAAAATTATAATTTTTCTTTCTTTTCACAAAAAATAATAATAATAACTGATCCTTTTATAACCCCATTATCGATCTGTGTCGAAAGTTGAAACCAGGATTGGACGTAAAATGGGAAAGCTAGCTGGTTAGAAGGCTTTAGCAGTGATTCGACCCGTAAATTAAAAAGATGAACTAAAAATTAATTTGATCTTTGTATAATAATACCAAATGGTTTGAATCATGTCTACGAAAACTCAACCCATGGCTCTCTTTTCAAACCAGCTTTATTTGGGGTGGACCCATATTTGATTCAATTATTACGGATTGTATCTAAGAGGCCTTCATCAGATGGAATTAGAATTCAAATTTTTGACAAGATGATAACATTTGTGGACCTAGCTAAGAAAATTAAAGTCTTCCTAGTCCCACAAAATTTTCTACCCTAATTACACTTTCTTCAAAAGCATGAATGGATTTGCTGGGGCGAAGGTTTAAACTCAGAAATAGAAAAGAAACGCAAGTTGGTGTGAATATTCTGTCCCCTTTACCCATCAACCAATTAAATTGAATTAAACAAAAATCTTCTTTTGTGTTTGTGTTTGTGTTTGGGTGTTAATGTCTTAATAATTTTATATTCCGTTGAGATGTGAACAAAACTGTTTCCCCGCGCTCTTTTTTCAAGTTTTGGAGCCCCTTTGGCTCTGATGACAAGATGAAGATGAAGATGAGATTAATATATATAATGGGCGGCGTGGCAATGTGTGCGTTTGAGCTTGCATTGCTTGTCATATGTGTTTCCCACCTTGAAGACATGGTGCCCACTCCACCACCTCCATCGTCCCCATTTCAAAGCTAGTTGTTGACATTTCAACCAGTATCACATGAACTCAAATTAAAGCCCGAATCAAAAGATTTTGCTTTATATGGTATTGAAGACATATTTTCACAGGAGATCAGTTTGGATCTGTGTTTGTCTCGTTCATTTCTGCCTCTCTCTAAGTAAATTCTATCTTTTTCAAAAGTTTGGCATCACCCATTTGAATCGTAGAAGGAAAATGATACCATGGGCTGAGCGCACTAGTTTAGTGCCCATTCGGAGGGCTTTATTGGGGGCCATTTTTGGCTTTGCAAGCCTAAACAATATATGGTGAAAAACTCACAATGTTGAATTGTTAAATGATAGTATCATGGTTTTCAAAATTGGACCGGACTGGAAAATCGGGAACCGGTTAGGTGATGGTTCCGTTTTACCCCAGAACTGTTATTTCCTTAAAAATCGTTGATTTGGTCACTGTTGACTTGGGCAGTCAAACCGTTTGAACCGTTCAATGGTTTGGCCTGTTTTTATTTTTTTATTTTTTATTTTTGTCAGAACAGGCCATTCATTCGGTTCGAACGGTTACCCCTAACTGATTCGTTGTCCGATTGAGATTTAAAAACCTTGGGTAGTATAATTGGCCTCTATCCAGTTGGAAGACTTGTGTCTCACTAAAGTCATTTTATACATTACTTTTAGGGTTTTAAGGATTTAGAGTTTATACTTTAGGGTTTAATTAGGTGATGAGGTAGTTGGATGCTTTCCTCCAACCATGGTAGGACCCAAGTATTGCCTATTGAATGGGTCAACCCTAGCCCAAACTTGATTCATATCCCACCTAACCAAACCCCCAGCCCTCATCCAAACCTAGCCCATCCAAATAATTACATAATTAAAAATATGTATTATATTTATATAAAAATATATTTTTTTCTAATTATATATTATATATGTGCATATGTATATGTACAAAATAGGTATGTGTATGCACTTTTGTAAATGAAATTTATGCATATTTTTAATCAATCTACTCTTAAATTGTCCATTAAACCCAATAAAAATGGGCTTAACTATGATATCATAAAAAAATGACCAATTAGGGGGTATTCATCAAAATTTCAAGAGAGTACTTTAATTGGTCAAAAGCTCTTCTAGTCCCATGTATTTCCAATATCATAGATTTTCTTTACAAAAATATATGCACAAATTCTTTGAGACATTCCTAACCTAACCTAACCCGACCCAAGTTTTATTGGATTAAGCTCAGGCTGAGCTTAAGTTAATAAACTTGAACTTAACCTCATATTGAACCAGGCGGAACCCGAGGATTGGATGTGGAATGACCTTCAACCCAGCCCAACAGCCCCAACCCGCCGGAGTTGCACTCCAATATATGTTGAAGCAATTCGATAGGCCAGGGCTATTTATATAATAAATATTAAGATTCATGCAAATTATCTATGATATTTTAGTAATATAAATGTGTAAGGAGGAAAAGAAAGAAGAAGATATGGAAAAGAGTCACATCTCTCCTTCTCATTAAATATGAACCACAGGGACCAATTTATAAGCTCCAAATAAAGCAAGAATCTTTAGCACTGAAGGCCTTGATAAGATCGACGTCACTGTTATCCTCACGTCACATTTCACCTCACAGTCGTCTACACACGTAATGTATCCTATTTTTTGGTAAACAAACAATTTAAAAGATACCCATTTACACGTCAATAGCTGCTGCCATCGTCAAACCATCTGATTTTGTGTGTTAGTAACACGTAAATGTACTGTTTTGATCTACCAATCGTGAATTGGAGCCACACATCTTTATTATAAATTGAGAGATGTGTGACTCTAATTCACTACGGGTAAAGAGTGAATAGGAAATTCTAAATTTAAAATAAACTAGATCGTGCATGTATATATTTTATTGGATGATCACAAAAATTTATTGAAATAATGATCTTAACTGATGTAAGCTCACAGAGAGGATATTCTGATTGAATATTAGGCTATCCTTCCGGCAAAGGTGTCAGAATAAAACCCTCTCACCTTGCAATCTAATAAATACACTCACCCATATATATGCTATAATGCCAATTAATGTTTTAGGCTATCATGGCTTAAATTTAATCAACCATTGACTCTGCTGCACTACAAATTAAATTAATAAAGCATGTACAAGTAGAAGTAGCTACAAAACACAATCAAGTCTAATGGAATTCATGCACTGAGTGTTAGGATCAATAACGTGTTAGGCTGGTGATTTGGATTACACAGCCTAATTTCCTGGCTATTTCCATTTATTTTTTATTTGGTAATTTAATTGAATAAATGCATTTATTTAAGAAACATATATCTAGATAAAAATTTATTCATGTTCTTTTGTTTTTCAAGTAAATAAAAAGGATAATTTTATACCATCATTTATTGGCAACTTTTCCCTTTAAGTGAAAAAATTATTTATCTATAAAAAATAATTATTTACCATGAAACTCATGATTTATCGAAAAAGAACATAAAATTACTAATTATTGATCAAAGAAAACCACTTTCTCATTGACAAATTTTTTACTTCATCTACCCACAAAAACAAACAAACGGTAATTTACTACAAATTAATAAGAAAATTACACCAACTTATGATGATTCCGTTAATAAGATTTCTAACTATTTAGAATAGAGACCTAGGATCAAATCATGCAAGTTTGGGGGCTAAGAGGGGGATGGCTACCCCCGTTTAGACATATGAAAAAAACCCCAAAACCTAGAATGGAGCTCTAGATTTCTAGGGCTGGACAGACTTATAACCCCCCCTCCCGCCTCACACACACAAAAAAAAGGGGGAGAGGGAGTACAGACTATTTATTCCAAAAAATAAGAATATTGCGAGACAGGATCTGTTCCTCACAGCTGGCGCCTCACACACACATCCTATCATACATTAGAAACATCTCCCGTATTTATTTGTCGTTATTCACGGGAGATGTTTCTAATGCACGGTGAATGTGCATGTGAGGCGCCCATTTGTGAGAAACAGATCCCGTCATGCACAAAATCCAAGCAGTAGAAGTAAACACATTAAAGAAGAATTTGACTTCAGTCAGGGCAAAGCCCATCCGAACAGTCTTTACTACCTTGCATTGAAAATATCTCTATACTGATGTGTTTTATTTTATGGGGAGATATTCCTAATACAAGGTTGAGAAAGGCTGTTAGATCGGTGTGCGCACAGGTTTTGCTTTTGCTTTCGATTGAGTCCGTTGAACCTATTAGTGCCAAACTTACAATATTATTTCATGCCGATGCCGGCCTTCTCCGCCAGATGAATGAGAGAATCCAACAATACAATATAATTTATAGGCTAGACATCACCACCAGGACCAGGACACTCACTTTTTAATTTGGTGCTGTCAAGTCAAGACTCTGCCATGAATCGTGACGCCAAACAATCACAATCGGACGACTGGTTTTGCTCTTTACCCTAGAGCTTCTCTTACTCCCCTTTGCATCGATAGACGATGGATCACCCGTTTAAGCATCTAAGCTTTTGTGGTGCATTGTCATCATCATCGCCTCCAACCACCTACGTACATGTCACCTCATCAGTCATCACTCGAGAGGTAGTCCATGTCGACATACAACAACTTGCATGAAGAAGCTATAAACTAGAATGATGTTACATTGAATTGAATTGGCCCGAGAAGTAATAAAGCCTCTCTCTCAATTCTCAATTTTCAATCCCAAGCAAGTTTAAGGGTCTGTTTGGTTCGAGGGAATAGGACCCTAAAATCAGAATCGGAATGAATCATTCCGTTTTTGAATGTTTGGTCGACCAGAATGGGAATGAGTAGGCGGAATGTGATTCGCTCATATGGGGAAGCCATTCCCGACCCCCTCCCCCGGAATGCGATTCCCATTCCGCTATTTAGGTTCCTAATTTTTTTTTGGACAAAAATCCCCTCCAATCTAACCTACGATTAACTGTTGTTGTGAAAGGGAAGAATCCCTCCAACCTCCATACTAGTCGTTGTTGTCGCCACCGTCAACCCCATCTCTGGTAAGGTAAGACCACTGCCAACCATCTTTCTCCTCCTCCTTCTTCTTCTTCCTCAACCACTCTTCTTGCTCCTCCTCATCCTTTTTTATTTAACTAACTGTGAAATATGGTGATCCATTTTACAGATCGGCCCCATCTCCACTTCGGATCTGCATTGCTGTGATTCGTTTTACAGAACTGCCCTATTCTTGTCTGTTTTAAACCGCTTCCTACTCTATGTTATGATTTTTCAAAGAAAAATATAAAGGAAAGGTCTTCAAAATGGTTTTTGTAGGTCTGTTACAAATTTGACCGATGTTTCCTCCATTTGGAATGAATGACTTAATTGTAACTATCTTAACATTCTTATAATGTGAAGCTCCTTCTGCATCTCATCCTCATGTAGACAAGGTCCAGCGTGCTTTTGGTTGTTTTTATGTTGAGGAAGTAATGTGGAATCTGATCTTGTTATTATTTCTTTCAGTTTGATTATTTTGTTATTCTTGTATCTCTTGATATAGAAATTGTTTCTTGTATCTCTGTCATCCTGAAAAATAGATAGATAAATTTGTTTAGACTCTGTACTTAGACCTGGAGCCCCTCAAATCAGTTTAGAATCCTCAGATCTTGTGATTCCTCTTGCTGAAGGATCAGCTAGGCTATTGGCTAACCTTGGGGTCCAGTTGAACAAGCAGTTCATGTTTGATACTAAAGTCTGGGCTTCTAGTATCATACTTATAAGAGACCAAGGACCTGGAGTTATAGAAGCGAACCAGGAATTTTCCACTTGATGGTTACCTTCTACAACCAGGTTGCTATAATTTGAAGGGTGAAACAGCCTCAAAGAATCTCCTCCTTGTGGTCCCAAGTAGCTTAATAATATTTGACATGTTAAATTCCTTAGAATAGAACTTTAAGCAATATCAAAAGTATACGGTGAGAATTTGTTGAGGAGGGTTAGAAGAATAACCTTTTTGTTTTTCTGTGTCTATGCCATTTTTGGCTTCAATTTCTTTAATATTTTCTATGATACCCATTGTTCCTAGAAATACCTGCGAAATGAGAGAGAGTATATTAAACTTTTCACTTTTGTAACAACTATGAATCATCAACCAAACAAGTGGAGATACTCAAATAAAATTTGTAAACATAAACATCAAGAAAATGACAAATGCAAGATATCAAACAAAAGTTGTTTATTTGGGTCAGCAGATAACCAAGGTCCATGGTGTACAAAAGATTGATTCAAAGAATATAACTCTAGATTGACTGTAGAAGCTGCAAATTTCTTGAATCAGTATTTTATAGGTTGATTAAAAAAATAATAATAGAAGCATTGAGGAGCTTGACCACAGGATAAGTGGATGAATATATGTTAGACATGATAGTGTCTTTGGTTATATGGATAAACGTTAGTCAAATTTATTAGATGCATTTAGATGATTTGTATATTAGGCTCAGTTTGGGAAGATTGCAATTTGCAAATTCAAATATGTTCAGTACAAATACAAGGTTTAGAAATGCCATATACAAGGTTCTGCACTATACATATTTGTATTTGCATTCTTCTCAAGCTCAGCCTTAACAACATAGTAAGAAGGAAAATAAACTAACCTCCAATAGATAGTGAAATACTAAATGGTTGATACTCAACTTTGTTATAATTACCACTGAAATACTTCATATGACTTTTATATTTTAACTACTAACATATGCCAATCTGTCTTTTTGACACAATCATAGACAGCTTCTAGTGTCAAATTGGTAAATATCCAAAAACCTCCAGAAACATCTAATTTCTTTTGACACATTCTTGTTTTTATATCCCTCTAAAAACAAGAGGATTGTAGGGCTAGCAAACATGTCGATTGTAGGTCACATATAATCTATTCAGTAACCAGTAGTATGTATTGTAGGGCTAGCAAGCTAACAATCTGATGGATTGAACTATTTCATTTAGATGGGTTCTAACAATGCTTATTGTGCTGTAGAGTTATGCCTTAGTGGAGTTTTCAGGACACTATTTAACCCAACTTTGTCATTTCCTTCTGTATAAGGACTCTTTTGGGTTTTTTTCCTCTCTTTTGTATTCTCACCACCTTTGTTCTTTAAGGTTCAGGGGTTGTACTTACAATTTTTTTTTTCTCTTTAATACAAGTTAATAAAAAATTATGGGATAATTCTAATTTGGTTAGTAAGGAATTGAGGATTCCCTTGCTTTAGCTTACTTTTGGGTATTTTAAGGGCACACCATACACATCATTTTAGTTCCTTTAGTTGGTGGTAAATTGTTCTTAGTGAAATGACAGAGGGAGTGGACAGATCTAAACTAGTTTGGGAGCATCATGCCTGAGACTTTACACAGGGTTGAATGTGCTCTTTACCTTTTAGTAGGTTGAATGATAGACAATTTCATGTCTGAAGTTGAAATAAGCATTAGCAAATAGCTTAAAAACACGACAGGTGGAACATATACATGATAAAGAGTAATTAGGAACCAGTGTTATCCAACAGGAAAAAAATTCCAGTAGTAATTCTTAACAACCATGCCAGGGTTAAGTACAAAGTTAGAAACAGAGTTATCACTGGAATGTAAATAAAAAATACAGGTCAAAATTATTCTTAGCAACCATGTCAAGTAAAAGAATGTTCGGAAGCCACATTGAATGCTGTCATTCTAGTCGTTGTTGTCTAGTATTCTCTGTCATTTTGGACAGTCTTTTTTTATTGGGAACTTTGTCTACTAGTGCAGGGGAATATGTTGTCAAAAAATCAATAGATGCGTTCGTGGAGGATAAAAATGGGGTATGATGTCAATGTTCAGTTTGCTTTAGTTGCTACTTGACTGTCAATTTGCATTTTCTTTATATTCAACTTCCTAATTGGCAATCAAATTTGCGCTTTCTACAGGATTCTCCAAACCAGTTCTAGTTTGTGAGAAATCTTGTAAAGAAACTTGGCTATGAAGTTTCTCGAAAACTTTCTAAAAAACACCAATAAATGTGCGAAGCTCAAGTATTACCTTCGTATCCAATATTTTGGTTTCTTTTTTTTTTAATTAAGTTTACCATATTGTTAGCGTGACAATAAATTTGTAGCTTGTCTATGGTATTGGTTATGCAGTCAATGGAGAATGTAGTTGTGGACTGCAATTAGTTAGTTGAAATCAGAAATGGCTACATATAGAAGTTGATTAATGAAGCTTGAAGCAGAGGTTTTGTCTTTGAACCCAATTAACAATGGAGGAAATTCTTGTGGATCCTACTAACAATGCACTAGTTGGACAACAGACATCAAAGAGATGGAGACCAAAGAAGCCTATTGCTACAGTTGATGGCTTACATTCTCCCGATGAGTGCCAACTCCAATCTCGTGGAAGAAAGCCTACATAGCTCAAGGTTCAATGCAACTATTCAGCAAGAAAATGATGGAAGGATTCCAAAGGTTTTTACGAGTGGCAGCAGCAACTTTGAGCTCATCGGGGCAAGTGTGAATCTTCCTGTAGAAGTTCAAGCAAGATAGGATCTTGTACAGAATCAGGCGCCTATTGAGTTTTTTATTCCATTTGAGTTATGGCTCTAATACAGATGTACTTTAGTTTGTAGTTCAATATGTATATATGGGGGCAAATTATTCAATATATATCTGTTTTTGAGGTTTATTTAACAGGGGCAAAATTGGAAAATTGGCTGATACCGATTCCAGCTTCTAGTTGAACCAAACAACAGCAATCGGAATCCAATTCCAATTCTTGACTGAACCAAACAGATTTTAGGAATAGGTGATTTCGATTCCAATACCAATTCTAATCCTGTCCACGAACCAAACGCACCCTAAATATTTCCTTGGGTTTATCCCAACTCCCCCCTTTAGCTGGTTAGCCATGAAAATGCTTTAAAAGAAATTAAAAAGAGCAAATGAGGAAGGACAAGACAAGAGGTCCAATAATATTGTTACAAAAAGCTCGAGATAAATAACCAAAGGACTTACATAGCATTAGTCCCTACCTATTGATTTAACTTATGGGTCACGCAATAAGGATCCGCCATTTGATGGTTCCAATCAAAATATCCATGCTTTTTTAATAAAAAGCCTCATGCTTGTATTCTTTTTATCGTGTGTAATAGAATAGAAATAGATGTTTTTTAGCATATAAGGGCAATTTTTGGGGTTTAATATCAATAAAAGTAATATATTTAAAAAAATTTCAAAAATAGGTTAACTTTTTAAAATTAATATCAATATAGGGCAAAAGAACTGTTCATCTTCTTCTTCTTGCCATTTATTCACCAGAGCAGTCATCCGCCACCACCCGCCACCTCCGTCTGTTGTCGCCTACCGCCACCTCCACCCTCCACCCACCTCCACCTCCGCCTCTGGCAATGTTGCCGGAGGTGGCCAGAGGCAGAGGTGGTGGCAGCGGCGTTGGTGGTCATTCCTCTACCCTCTGTCACCGCCACCTCTGTCTCCACTAGACTTGTTCATGGGCTGGACTTTTGCTCTTCATTAACAAGATTTTTTCAGGCTCGAGCCCGAGATCGGCATGACCAATGAGCCTACAACTCGGGCCCAAGACCGGCCCTCATAAAAAGACAGAAGCCCGGGCCCGAGCCCGAAGCTCGACCTAACAGAGGCTGAAATGCAGGGTGACTGAGTCCACTGGTGGTGTAGCTGGCGCCGGTGCCTGAGTTCGCCATCGTCGATGCTTGAGTTCATTGGTTCTTGGGAATATGCAACAATGCATGAGAATGAGAACTGCAAGAGAGACAAGAGAGAGAGGAATGGTAGAGAGAGAGAGAAGATTCACCGCTGGAGAGAGGGGCAACTAAGGTCACTAGTGGCGCGGCTGGCGTCGATTCCTGAATCCTAAGAATATGCGAGTGCATGCGAGTGAGAGAGAGAGAGAGAGCGAGAGAGAGAGAGAGAGAGAGAGAGAGAGAGAGAAGACTCACTGCTAGAGAGAAAGACGACCAGTGCTTGAGTCTGCTGGTGCCTGAGCTTGCCTGTCACCTCTGAGACTGAGAACAGTGGCTGCTTGCTTGGATTCGCACCAGTTATTGAGAGTAAGAGTGAGGAGAGAAAGATAAAAGATGAAAAGAGAGAATAGGAAAGGTTAATTAGCTAAGGTTTACAATAAAATACAAAATGTCGGGTCGGGCCGGGCTTTGTGACAAATCCCGAGCCCGACCCGTAAAATAGTCGGGCTTGGGCTTTTAGGCCCGAGGTCAAGCCCGTGGGCTAAAGTTCATGAGCAAGCCCATTCGGGGGTCGGGCCGGGCTGGGCCGGCCCGCCGGGCTACCCGGCCCATGAACAAGTCTAGTCTCCACCCATCTCCGGCAATGTTGCTAGAGGCAGAGGCGAAGGTGGTGACGTTGGACAAAGAAACCACCGGCGCCACTACTGCCACCTCTGCCTCCGACCACCTCTAGTAACGTTGCTGGAGTTGGAGGCGGCGATGGGCGGCAGCGGATGGCGGTGGCGGGTGGTGGCAGATGGCAGCTCCGGTGAACAAATGGCAAGAAGAAGAAGATGAACAATGTTTTGCCCTTTATTGGTATTATTTTTAAAAAACTAACCTATGTTTGAAATTTTTTTAAATATATTACTTTTATTGATATTAAACCCCAAAATTTGCCCTTATATGCTATTACCCCTTTTATTTATCTATAGTATATAAAACGATTACTTGCCTTGGGTCATAATTCATAATTAATAGTTAAATTTAAATATCATAATTCTAAATGCATTGATTCCTGAAATCTTGATTTTCTTTGTAATGTTATATTGATCATATCACCATTAAGTCTTAGTAATAATGCTATAGATCTGGTTGCTTAATCCCAGTAGAGTCACATCCCTCTTGTCACTACTTCTACCACAATATTAATGCTGGCCTGCACTGCCTGGTACATCCAATTGTTCTTCCTCGTCTCTTATAAAAAATAATCCGGTCACCGCCCTATTGCTGTTTTTCGCAGAAGCATTGGAGTTTTGATCATTTCGTAATGTTAGACTTCTAAAAATTTCATTGGCCTTGTTTCTTGTCAATTTTTATCTTCATACTTGTCAATGGATTGGATCTTGTCTAGTCAATACAACGAGTTAAATTCCAAATCTAATTTAATCGGATAAATCCAAGATACATAAGGATCAGTAACCATATGTCTTGTTTACGATGGAATGGGTTTGAAACTTTGAGTTTAGCTTTACATCCAAATGCACCCCTAATCATTATTCAATATAAAATTACAGTAGAATAAATTTAAAATTTAAGGCCTTGTTTGGCAACATTCCGCGAGAATGCTCCTCATGTTATCATCGTTCCCATGGAATGGGAACACGTTTGGCATGACATTTTCGATTGTTCTATGTTTTTTGGAGTGGGAATGGCACATTTCCAGCTCTTTTTTTCTTTTTGGAGTGTCCAAGATGGGTCCGGATGTAGAAGGCACATTAAGTAAATACAATGAATGAGAACGTTAGGACTTCACCCCGCAGGAACGATTCTCCAAGTGTTGAGTGGGGGTTATAATGATAATTTTGCAACTTTTTAGCCATAAAGAAGCCCTAATCGAGCTTAGTGGGGTTCTTCTTCTTCCTATACCGGCTACCGTTGATGCACTCTCAAACCTTTGCAGAGCTTCGACCAGTTATCTCTGTTTGACATGCAATTTGCTTGCTTATTGTAAAAATGTATTAGGTTTGAACTTCCTCTTCAGATTAACGAAAAAAATATTGTAAAAAAGTATTGAGTTATGCCATTGAATTGATTTGGCTTATTCAAGTGATTTGATTGAATTGATCTATGCCATTCAAATGAACTGCCATGCATTATCTAAACTCTAAAGCTGATCTGGCCATTTGGGTTCTCCCACCTTCAAAAAACCCTTACCGTTCTCTCATCTTCAATAAAATAAAAAATATACCCAAACATTGTTTCTGCTTCTTTAGAATAGAAACTTGTTCCTAATAAACAAATTGCCAAACATTAATCTTATTCCTTAGTAACCAAAAATTCCATTCCGTAACCGGAATTTCTCCAAAAACAGAAACAAGCATAAATAACGCCAAACGAGCCCTAAATATCTTTTCATCGTCTTGCCCTTTTGTATCTTTAATTGCAACGTGCCCTGAAGTTAAGTAGTAAAGCTTTGGGGGTGACGTCAAACGAGTAGAAATCACCGCAACATTGAAATTTTGGTTTGGTTTCGGTGATGGGACCAGTGGTGGAGATTGGCTTGTGATTGTGAATGAATCTGCTTCCATCTCATTCATAAAAATAGATTCGAGTCGTTTGTCTTTTGTGTTCGAACTATTTTGTATTTGGCTTGTCATTGTTGTGCTGGGCATTTACTGCTAGCTGGATGCTTTTCTATTTTCTAATTTCTAACCAGAAATTACTACTACTGTCTACTGTTTTCTTATTTTAAATTCTCTGACTTGGGATGGCAATTTTTCACTCAATCCACCCAATTCGCCCATTTATTTGGTGGGTTGTGTCATCAATCTATCATCCAATTCATCCATTTAGATTGGGTTGTGGATAATCATTGGATTAATTATTATATACATAAGTATTAATTTTTTAGCTTTTTTTTCTTAATTTTCTTCATTTAAATTAAATAATTTATAATTAATGTATTAATTTTCTATTAATTATTGATTAAAATAAGTTTTGTCTTGAATCAACACACTTCACCTAATATAAATCCAAATCAATTTGGCCCGAGCTCGAACAACGTGATATGACCCGATCCACCATATATTGATCCGGGTTGACAAGAATCCGAAATAGACCTCGGGTAGGATGGTTTGAGACCGTTTCTGCTCTGTTTGGGTCATCCAGTCCAACCAGTATTCACACAGCCCAACCCGAGACGGTACAAGCCGATCCGAGTCGACCCAAATCCAAAATGGCTTCAGGCGGGATGGTTTGGTGTTTGCATGCTTTGCCCGGTCTGGACCGTCCGAATGACCAATATCCACACAACCCGACCCAAATCCAGACCAACCCGATTTACTTATGTTGACCCGCTTTTCGTCAGTCGATTCGGCCCAAACCCGTGCACAAACCTGATATGGTCTGATCTGATCCAACCGGACTGATCCATATCTAAATGGTTCAACCACCCTTGATGTGATTAGCTTGGAGATAATCCAATTAGATAGTTCAAGTTGGTCTGATCAATTTGAACCTAAGTGGATCGGTCAAACCTGAAATCCAAACATAGTCAAATGGTTTCACCGCTTGTGTAAAACTAACATGCATGTAATGTGATTTGAACCTTCACCACTTGTGCAAATAGTAACTGCAATTACCACTAAGCTATGACCAACTTATTTGTTAAGAAAGAGTTAGTTTGTTTTTTAAGTCTATAAATATAAGATTAATGGGTTTGGGCGGGTTGGATTAGGTTAAAGCGGTTTTGGGTTGAACCCAACCCATTTAATTTTATATAACTGGGTCATTAATGGGTTGGCGGGTTAAATGGATTGGGTTGAAGTTCAACCCAAACCAAACCTAACCCAACCCGTCCAATTGCCACCGCTACTCTAACCCTTTTTTTTCTCTAGACAGATTTGCTCCTCACATAGTGCACCGCACAAGCACAACCCACCAAGCATTTGGAACATCTCTCATGAATGATAACGTATTATTC